CGAGGTTCTTTCTCATAGTATCAAGCAATGCGTGACTTTGGCAGTACGTGCCTGCCGTTAGACTCGTGAGTAACATCTTCTTCACGATCGGAAGTTCGGTCAACGTTCATACCGTCTGGAACCATGATGACCTTGATTTGTCCATTAACATAACAAAATCAAAATTAGACTCAACTCGAGCAAGGTAAATGAAACTGGTTCAATACAATATCTCACCTTTGGAAGCGGGGCCACACGCTTCTTCTTTGCAGGTTTGCTCTTTTGTTTCTTCTGAGCTGCTGCTTGAGAGTCTGAGTGCCCTCCAGAAGAGGGTCTTTGGCGACGCTTACGAGGTTGAGCTTGTGTCGAAGTAGGAGCAGTACGGTGTTCGATGATCTCAACTTCATCGGAATCGGAATCGGATGCCTCGCTATCACCACCACCTTTGCCTTCACCTTCAAAATCACCATCCTCATCACCTTTGCCATCACCATCAACTTCACCTTTCCCATCACCATCACCATCCTTACCTACTGTCGAGCCAGGGGATGTAGGATCGGGCTGTTTCCAAGACTTGCGGCGATCAGTTGAGCCAATAACAAGGTTTGAACCCTTCTTAGCAGGACTACGAGGCCGGAGGGTCCGTCCAGAGCCTGGAACCTGTAGTGATGAAGAGGTCGAAGTAGGTTCTTCAGCACCAGAAGCATAGGTATCAAGTGAAGGTGAAATCGCCATTATGAGACAGTTATAATGATGGAGACCTTAAGGGGACTTGAAGAGATGGGACAATGGCTATTGTTGTACAATTCCGAACAATAGCTTTTTTGCTCGTTATTCCTTTTACAGGTCATGATGAGACTATCAAAATGATACCATCATCCAAAACGGTTATTTAAACACCTCATCAGCGAAAGGATCGCCACTTCTCTTTTCACATGTAGTACATATACAGGCAGGAAAGGCCTGCTCGCCTTCACCTCTCACAAACTCGCAACTGACCGCAACATATTTCGGTTCGTTGCGAGTTTCGGTTCATCAAACCTGGGTTCGTTTCGATTGAACCAAAACCACTCATTTTCTCATCCTATTTCGGTGCGGTGGCACCGAAATCATATTTCGTTTCGTTTACAAATCTATATCGCACCGAAATCGCACCGAAACTGAAATATGTTGCGGTGCGATTTGGGTGTTGATCTCATATTGTCAATCCTCAACGTCCAAACACCGATAAAGAGACCACCTCAGCGATTAAGCCAGAAACCCGGATTCTCATCCTTTTTAAGACGGGTCATGCATCATTAAGATGCTCAATTATCTATTGGATATGCATTTTGGTAGGTCAGGAATAGGTTCTAATACTGCTATCGCCTCCATTTTGCTGTAAAGGCTAGCCAGAGGTTGATACATATTCACTGTCATTTAGAGTCCAATTGTGCCAGCGAAAGGCGGCCTGGTGCTGGAAACACCGCAAGCATTCAGCTTGCGTTGCTTTGTATGATGTCATTGGGTGTCAACGGGACGCATCAAAAATAAGTCCATAAGGATGTCTGAATCCGTAAGGAAGGTAAAAGGCCTTAACATGGTTACAAAGGAACAGGACCACTGGGTGGATGATTGACTTTTCGCTAACAAAGTAATAAAACGCACAAAAGTGAAAGAAAAAAAAACAAATAGAAACTGGTCACAAAGCCACAGCTCCCTAATCCTCGTCACTATCCTCCTCGCCAACAGACTGTTCTTCGCCCACGGAATCAACAACCGACTTCCCTTTTCCCTTCCCTTTGTTCTGGTGAGGTATAGCCGAGTCTTCCTCGCAGTTAACTGGCTCTAAGATAGTGCTGGGAGCATGCGGTGACTGTGCGACGGGCTTCTTAGCTCTTTTGTTAGCAGGTTTAACCACGTTTCGGACGGGGGTAGCTCTTGGTCTCTTCTTTGCAGGGGTCTTTGGCTTTTCCTCAGCCGCCAAGTTTCCGTCTAAGTCCTTGGAAGACCCTTGAATTGTCGGTTTATCGTTGAAGATCCTGAACAAAAACAATCCATTAACAACTCAGGGAGAAATTAGTGAATTAAGGAAAAGCATACATTTTGCCGCGAGCCCTTCCGCCTGGAGTTATAATTGTTTCGCCTGACATTGGGGTTGAAACTGCACCACCAGCCGAAGGGCCAGATGTTACGCTGACTCCAGTGATCTGTGCGAGCGAGACGTGTCGTGTAAAGTGTTGCGTATTTGAAACAGATACAATTTGAAAGGTACAAACCTCAACTACCCACATGTGCTTAGACATGTCTTTGCCTACGATATGTCCGACTAACTGGGTTTTTCCATCAAGGGAGACCAAGGACATCTATATTGGACGTCAAAAGAGCTCAAACCGCGAATCTAAAATGCAAGGATCAGTTTTGGTCCTCACTATCCACAAAAATTTATTCACCTCAGGGTTATAATCGGTGTGTCGAACGACCACAACAATAGTATCTTTTCCTGCAGAGACAGGTTCCACTTCTTGCAAGATGATGACACCGAGACCAAAGACGCTGACAGCATTCGACAAATCCCCCTTGAGATCTCGTGATGTGGTCGCAAAGATTTGGTTCTTGGGCTCGTAGTAAAACTTTTGTTCGCCCGGTGTAGAACTCCTACGCAGTGTAGCGTAGGCTGAGCCGGAGAGGGTAAGAATCACCACTCGTGAGAGCGGATGAAACTACGGGTGCGGTGAAGCTGCCCTCAACCTTTTGTTGCAGTTCGAAAAGAACCAGAGCAATCTAACAATTTTCTATCTTCACGAATTTTTCCCGTCAAACTTTGTTTATCCCGTAGATGGATGCGCAAGGTCTGGCGGAGTCTGGCGATGTACAGTACACGCCTACACAACGTCTATAGCCGGAGTTATGCAAATTTCGATTTTTCACTACTTTTGGATTTTGAGTCCGTAGTGTACTTTTACAATTGGAGAGGGGGGAGATGGTTTTGTCGGCGGCGGGGATTTTCCAGAAATTTGGTACTCGGACCCCAAATTTAACAATTTATAATTGTTTCGAATAATTGACGAAGTCGAATTTCCAGAAAGGGATTTTTCAAAATTGGCGAATTTGTTGAAAGGATGGGATTCGAACCGGTGCTCAGGGTTGGCCCCGAGTTGTTTGAGCTTTCACAAACCAGTGACACAGATAA